TTATAATAATAAAATAATAAATTTTAATTAATTAAAAATTTTCTTTTTTCTTTTGCCACCATTTTGTGGTGATGGCAGATTTCTTTCCTCATTTTAACAAACAATTTTTTATTTATTTAAAAACTTTTAAAAAAATGTGTGAATTATAATAATAATAATAATAACAATATTTTGATGTTTTCAAAAAAAAATTTGAAGAGAGAGAAGAGAGAAAAACAAATTTTTTTATCTGCGAATTACTTCAAGTTACGTTTTGTTGCATTGAAAAACAATTTTTTTTTTTTTTTTATTTTATTTTGTTCAGAAAAAAAGGAAAAAGAAAAAAGATTTTTTTCTTTTTTTTTTTTTTTTTTGATTCTTTGTTCATTCGTCCGTAGAATAATCAAGTATTGGTTTGCAATGATCTATTTCCCTCTTTTTTATGTAAGAATTCTTTGATTCTACAATGTGTTTATGCCCTTTGTCAATCACGTGTGTTCTTACAATTTGCGTTCTTTTCCTATTGTCAGACTATCCTTTTTATTTTTATTTTTTTTTTAAATCCATGTAAGAAAAAAATATATTTAAATGAGATCCCTTGACCCTAGAAAAGTGTTTTACACAAATGGTTTCTTTTGTAGTATCCTCTACTCTCGTAAACAACTTCAAAAAAAAAAAAAAAAAATTGCAACGATTCAGGGTCAAATTTTAAGAAAAAAAAAAAAAAAAACGTTTACGCGCACACGTTTGCAAATTTTAATAAAAAATAATAATAATTACATGTACAAAAATACACTCATCATACGACATCCAAGCAGAAGAAAAAAATAATCCCTTATTAGAAAATTTATAAAGATGAAGATGGAGGAGAAGAAGAGAAAATGTTAGCAGCAGCTGTTGCACAATTTTAATTATAATACACGATGACATAAATCTCGCACAAAAAAAAAAAGGTTTTTAACTTATCTTAAAAGGAAAGGGTGTCCAACTGGAAAATAAAAAAAAAAATCAATAAATTATTATTATTATTTTCTCCAGTTGAAATAATCAAAAATTTTTTTTTCCCTACATAATACCTTTCTCGTAGTTGAAATTTTCCAGAAAAGAAAAGAAAAGAGTACGAAACGTGCGTATGAGACCATTTTTGACCGATTTCGTGTTAAATTTCATTTATTCATCGGTTTCATGCTGTGTTTAAAAAAAAAAAAAAACTTTTTCTTCTGCGACATTTGGTATCAATTACCGGCGACCTTCTCGTGACATAAACAATACATAGTAGAAATCAACCGAAAAAGAACGACGATGATGATGATGATGATGATGGTAAAAGAAAAAGAAGAAATAAAAAAACAAAACCATCTATTATATTCTTTGCATTTAACATGACGTGAAACCCGGGAGCACCTCTTAAATTCATTTTCGGACAATTTTGGACAATATTTTAGAAAAACAGTGCCGTGTAAAGGTTTTTTATTTATATCCATCCATTTTCAATCTTTTAAGTGAAAGCGTTCGATTACACGTAATAATATTTAAATAATTTTTTTTTAAACAAATATTTAACGTTTTCGGTACTGTTATTTTGCTTAAAAAAAAGAATCGAGTTAAAAATGACCGGTAAAAATCAAAAAAAAAGTCAAAAAAAAGTGATTTCCGACCCCGTTTCACGGCATTAGAGGGTTGACAATTATTATTATTATTATTATTATGGCTACCATATTCAAAAAGAAAGAAAGAAAGAAAAAAATTCTTTTATTCGTGGCTTTTTCAATGAGTTTCTCGTTAGTACCATTTATTATTATTATTATTATTATTATTGTGCCTTCTCGCATTGATTATTTTTATGAGTTTTCTAAATAAAAAGAATTTTTTTTTTCTTTCTTTTTCAGTTACGCCATAATCTTTTTTTTTCTTTGTTCAAATCTATCCTTTTTTTTTTTTTTTGAAAAGTTATTGAAGCCTTCCACCTTCTACAAAACCTTCTTTTTTTTCTTTTTTCGGTTTAAATGATTTATACTACCGTTGGTTTTAAATTATTATTATCATCATCATTATTACTACTACTTTTTAAAACAAACTTTTCATTGATGTCCCACTTTTTAAACTCTTTTTAACCAATTTTTTTTTGACATAAAAAAGAAAGAAAAAGAAAAAATCGAAAGTATTCGTCGTGATTTTAACGTTCCTCGTAATAAAATGGCATCCACCGATTATTTATATAAAAAAAAAAAAAAAATCTTTTTTGGTTTTTTATTCTAGAAATGACATCGTTGACGGTATGACAAAAA